GATTTTAAAATAATGGGGCGTTTTGCCAATAGGAATCACCCTTCATATTTTACGCGTCAGGTGGCGTTGTTGTTCCATAGGTGGTTAATCGGGCGTTTTAAACGCGTCAGACGCTTGAAACCAACGTAAACAAACAATGACACCAAGACATGAACATATATTTTAAGAACTTTCAAGCATTGTAAAACCATAAAATGCCCCAAAGATGTTGTGTGCCTGGGTGTAAGGCTTCTGGGGGACATCGGTTTCCGAATGATCCGACAATGAGGATGAAATGGAGGGTTGCAATCAGGAGAACTGACGGTAAAACAAAGAAGTTGTGGATTCCTGGTCAACATGACGTGGTTTGCTATGACCATTTTCTTGCCACTGATTACCGAAGAACATTGTCAGGTTAGTTATACTAGATAAAGGATTGATATGACAGTAGTTTTTTTTGTATGAAATTTATAAACTTTTATTTTGTTACAAATTTTCAAAGTGTGTGATCTTTGACTTATAGTTATAGTATTGTCTATTGACATTGGTTTTTAATTTATATTTAATATTTTGTGCAATTTTTTTTATACAATGTGTACCCATCTTAGTGTTTTAGGTACTTTCCTTTAATTTATTATGTGTGTGTGTGGGTTTTTTGTGGCCTCTATATTATTAATATATCATATATTAATATAATACTATGAAAAATGTTTCAGTATGTACATTTTTTTTTTAAATGACTGATCGAAGGCAAAGTTTGATGTTTTCTGTAAACTTGTGCTCTATCATTAAGTGTAAAATAGTTTTGTTTCTTGGTTAAAAATCGAGAAAAGAAACTGAAATCAACTATGATTAAAAAATTCTTGTTATAAACATTCACAAATGGTAGTTTAATTTTTTGTCAAGCAGATACAAAAAATTCATAAGCAAAATAAATCATGTCTATCACAAAAAATGAAAGGATGTTTATTTCTTTTGATACAGCTTCATACTAGCAGAGACATATAATACAATTTAATAATTGTATTATATGTCTCTGATACTAGGTTTTCTTTTATACTTCACTCTAAGTCATTGTTTATTGTAAAACATCATACATGTTTATTTTGCACCTGAAACTGAATATCAAAATACAAATGAATACATGTACAAATGTATGTAATATTGTATTAATATTTCTTTTACCTTTTCATATTAATAAGAAGTGATGTTTTTATAAATATTGTTTGATAGTATAAAAAACACTGAAAATGGGTACACTTAAATATGTTTTTGTTTGCATGTTGCTTTGTGTTTTTTGTTTTCTTTCCCTAGGATAACCAAGAGGCAATGAAATCAACAGATCAAGGCTTCTAAAGAAAAATCTTATGAGCTGTTGGGAAGTTTATTTTTATTAGCTTTGTTTACTTCTATTTTAATCCTTAAATTTGAAAATTAATGATATATACAGTAACTGTACATGTAAAAATGTACTATCCATCTTCAATACAGCAAATCAACAACACAAGTAACCCAACACATCTAGTTGTCAACATACATACATGTACATACTGCTGTTTAACAATATACAATGCAAGTGTCTATACAATATCTGTATAATACAAGTATTTCAAGCTCAAAATTACCATGCAAAAAAAATGTAACGAAATATAAAATAAGCATGATAAGAGAAACTAAAAAAAAAAATGCCATCTTCACATATTTCATCAAATATCTATAGTTGTTATATTCCATGTCATTTGGTCACTTGTACAGAGTTGTCTCATAGGCAATCATACCACATCTTCTTATTTTTATATAAACTTACACAAGCTCAAAGTACTTTTTAAATGTGTTGTTTCACAACTGCATTAACTCAAACCTGTAGCTTTAAAATGTAAAGAAAATGGATATGATGTTATTAAACAAATTCATTGTTTTTTTTTATGCAGGTGATCGCTGCAGACTTACAGAAAATGCTATTCCTTCTGTGTTCGAATTTAAGATGAAGACATGTTCTGAAGAGTCTCCAAGAGCAAAAAGATTTAAAAGTAGATCTGATACTTCATCAGCAACACCACACTTAATTAATGATGATTCTTTAGAGATCCAATATGAAACTGAAATTGAAACTACAAAAGAAGCTCAGGAGCCAGTTAAATTCAATCTTAATGAATCCTCACAGCAAAACCAAAGTATCCAATGTGACATTCCATCATTTGGTAAATTTTCAATAGAATCGTTCAAAGAAGATAACAAAATTATCAACTATTACACTGGTTTTCAAAATTTTGACCATTACATGATGTTTTTTCATTGTCTTGGACCAAGTGCATTTGAACTTGATTTTAGGTGTAATTTACTCGATCCTATTGATCAACTTTTTATGACTTTAATCAAACTTAGACAAAACAAAGAGGATATTGAATTGTCAATGCTTTTTAAAGTATCACAATCCACAGTTTCTAGGATCATCATCACTTGGATTAATTACCTGTATTTTCAGCTTAAAGAAATTAACATTTGGCCTTCTAAAGAAATAATAAAAGAAACCATGCCTAGTGATTTCTCTAAAAAATTTCCCAAAACCAGAGTGATAATGGATGCTACAGAAATACCAATTGAAAGACCATCAAATGTAGAGTCACAGAGTGCAACTTGGTCAAATTACAAACACAAAAACACGCTAAAGACCATGATTGGATGCAGTCCACGAGGACCTATAACTTTTATATCTGATTCATATGGCGGTTCTGCATCTGACAGACAAATAATTGAGAAGTCTAATTTACTTGACCCTGCATCGAAATCTTTTGAAAAAGGTGATGCCATTATGGCAGATAGGGGTATACTTGTACAGGATCTATTTGCAAATCAAGGGGTTCAAGTTAATATACCAAATTTCCTGAAAGGTAAATCCCAGTTGGATCCAGCTGAAGTTCTTCATGACCGAAGGGTAGCTTCAAAGCGTATACACATAGAGAGAGTTATAGGTTTAACAAAAAGTTTTAAAATATTAAAACATGGTATTTGTAAGTCAAAGCTGCAATTGGGTTCAAGAATAGTTTTTGTTTGTTTTGCAATTTCAAATTTCAGGAAGAATATTGTACATGGAAATGCTTGATGTTTTAAAAACACAATGTGACTTTATACATTTATTTCCCGTGCATCAGGGAGATATGAAGGTTTGTTCACTCAAGAATATTTATATCTCACGAGGGCTTTGCCCGAGAGAAATATGATTTTTCAAGGAGGGAACAAATCTTCATATCACCCGAATCCAAGGGAAATAAATGTTTTATTCCACTGCCTATGCTTTGTTTACTACATGTACATAAAATATTAGTTTGTATACATTTTTATTCCTTATCTGCTAAACAACACATATGCATTGATAAGGTCAAAAAAATAATATGTGTGTTTTCTACTACATCTTTGAAAAAAATTTGGTAAGAAGGTATGGATTTTTTTTTATTTTACCCTTTTTTTTACATTCAGTCTATGGGAGAGACATTCTGACTTTAAAAGTGCTTATTGAAAATGACAAAAAAACTTTAGGGTAGGCTATTTTTGAGCTTAAAAAATAAGGAGGGTAGGGTAATGGGAAACACACGTCTTTTTTTATTTGTCCTAAACAGTCCGGATCAAAAGTTAATTATTAGTGTATTTGCTTTAGTGTCTGAAATAAATACAAACACGCTAATGATTTTTCCTATAGCTTTTTAACAAAAAAAGTTCAAATCGTTATGTCACACTATGTAGTCCTAACATTTCAGAGGGGAATATGAAGATTTGTTTAATGACGTGTGGGATAGTCTCAACCAATCAAATATTGAACTAACGTGTAAGCTGTTATATACAATTATAGCCTTTGTATGAGGTCGATACAAGGATATATTGACCTGAAAGAAATATATTGACTGAGGACAAAATCCGAGGTTGATATACTTATTTGGGATGATATATCCTGTATTGACCTCATACATGGGCTATAATTGTTATATTATTAATTTCCGACCAAATTTGTATCAAAATTGTCATTTGATTTTGTTGGGATTTTATAGATATCATATTGTCTCCTAGGCAATAACAACATATCAGATGTTATTTCATTTATTTTTATGTTTGTTTTTTTTTACATCGTATGTATAAATTGAAGATTTTTTTTCTTCAAATACTCGATCATAGATATTTTTTTATAAAATTTAAACAATATCATGAAATTCATTACATGACGTCACAAAGTATATCGGTTTTAGAGTATTTTAAAAATAACCATGCAATATGCTTTTTGCTATGCAATATGCTTTTTGCTATCCGCCGTTTTCTACCTAGCTTCGAAAATATAGTTTAACATGTGACTATCCCTAAATGAATCAAATTAGTTAAAATATACGAATTAATAATATCAATATGTATAAGCTGTGGAATAAAAGGATCTTCTTTTTATTGTACTATAAATTCTAATCATAAAATATGGTAATCTGAAAGGTAACCTTCTTCTGTACAAGAAAATGTGGTATGATTATGAATGAGACAATATCGACCAGAGACTAAATATCACATAAAGGCCTTCAAAATGAGAAAAACACATACCATAAAGTAAATAATATAACTATATTATAAAAAGCCCAACTTACAAGAGGTAAAATTATTCAAACAACTCAATACTGGTATATTTATCACTAAAGAAAAATTTATTATGATTTTTTTAATTGGCATCACTTTATTTGATTTTAATAAATGAAAATTGTAAAGTTAAGTGTTTGAGATTCTAGCATATACGTCAAAAATTAGTATTTACTGGTTACAAATATTGCGTGTTATAATAATTATCTTGCATCTCAAAACTGTTTAATACATACATGTACTAAATAAATTGGATTATCAAATTAAAGAATTAGCTCTTCAATAATATAAGTTAATAATTTATTTCTTCTTTCATTATAAAGAGATATTTTGCTTGCTTCAGTAAGTCATTCTTAACCTTAAAAGTATAATGGGATAACAGTTCAATCAATTGAATTAAGAGTTATCTGTCCCTTTTTGAGAGATTTTTTTATCATTCCTGGTTGATTGTATAGGTAGATTTAACTTTAGATAAAGATATAAACCAGCATATTACAAAAAAACTTCAAAGAGATTTGTTAAAGGGGCATTTAATTTTCAAATCAAATCAATATATTAGAAAAATAATTTTATACATGTATCAAATTACAAATAAAATGACATTCCAAATTGAATAACTACTAGTTGTAATCAGTGAATATGTATTGATAAAATATTTATTTGTTTTAATTGTATTTCGTATGATTTTTACTACAAATTTACAATGTTGAAGCAACATATGGTCTGAAAACTCTTTGGTAAAATGACTCCAGTTTTGGAACAAGACAGTTATTACAATACTCCTCATTAAGGCTGATTTTTTGTACAAACAAATCACATAAGGTATAAACAACAAAGTAACATAGAGATCTTTTGGTGACAAAAAGCTGCCCTTGAATTTGATCATAATAATTACTGCTCTCTTTCAAAACAATATTGCCATTACTATCCATCTGTAAAAAATTGAAACTTGGACCAGGCTTAACATCTTCATTTCTTCCATTGTAGGGGCATTTAATTTCGACAATTGCTTTACCATCCACTAAAATGGCATCAGGTGAAGCACCAAGGAAAGATTTATCAATACTGACATAAAAACCACATCTTTTAGCATTCACATTAAATTTTAAATTAAAAGCCTTCAATGCTTTAGCTTCATAGTTTTTGCCATGACTAAGTGCTTTGCTCTGAATATTTGAGCCATAAAAAAGTGAATGACAAAATTTGTTAGTGTTCCGTCTTGAAGTGACTTTACAAATCTCGCCGAAGGTAGATGCTGTGAGTCTCCATCTTCTTTCTTCTAACCACTTGGGACTGCAACTTTGTAGGCGGGAAGACCTCTCAATCAAATCTATATCTGATTGTGTAACCTATATGAAAACATAATATCATTCTGATTGATTGATTCTAATATCATGATCCTGTAAATTAAAAGAAGAAAAACTTTGAATAATTTAATTTAGTCCACTCCTTTTTGAAAATAATTGTTTATCCATGATTCCATATCTAAAAATATCTAAAGCATTTTGAAGAACATAATAGGAAAGCTCAATGACAATATTAAAAACCCTCTCTTATTTTGTCGTGTTAAGCATTAGGTAAATTTATACAACAGATTAATGATTGATGAACTTCATGCATCCTTATGTCATTTTTCCTGGGTAACATGCATTTACATTTTTAGTATATTTCTAGGACAAAGGGGGATAACTCAATTTTTTACCAAACTGTGATCCAAATTTATTGAACCAGTTTTTAATACCTTATTTGCTCTATCAACCCAATGCTCAGTAAAAGGCATGGGACAATAATCATGATCTTTGGCTGCTGCCTGAAAATAAATATAAAACAATGAAGTGATTTATGATATTAATGGAAGAAATGAATATTTATGAATTTATTTAATGTTGTTATGACTCATGAGGGTCAGTGTTTATGATATACATAGATTAATGAATTTACCAATATAGATATATATATATAATATATAATATGTTATTTTAATTGTATTGTTTATTCTGTTAAACTGTTTATGTTGATATATTTATACAATTATAATAAACAGTCACACTTACCTGAATATCAGCTTTTTCATACAAGTATCTAATTGATAAGTCCATTGATGATACACTGCAGAAGTTTGTTACAGTGTTTTTGATGTGGTCATTGTAACCTGGGCAGTTTCTGTATTTAATTGGTCTAGGATCAGCAAGATAAACTGGTGCCAGCTTTCTCTTAGTTGGCAACTTTTCTGCTTTCACTGGAGACCCTTAAAAGAACAGAAGTAAACTGCAAAGATGCATTTTACTATGCAACAAAAAATCTGGAAGTTACTTTTTATCTAGTTAATTGGTAGCATTTGTCATACAGTTTTTTTGTCTCGCCTTAGAGATTATTTGGCCCCGCCCCCTCAGTCAAGGGCTATAGACTTTGAAACTTTTCATAGTTAACATGTATTAGTTTGTGATTAGGTCAATTTATGGGGAGGAACCACTAGTGGTAGGTCAATGATATTTGGTATGCAGTTGTGTAAGCATTAGCATATTCATTTTTCATGGAGATTATTTGGCTCCGCCCCCTTAGTCATGGTCTATAGACTTTGAAAATTTTGCTAAGTTAACATGTTTTAGTTTGTGATTAGGTCAGTTCAAGGGGAACCATTAGTGGTAGGCCAATGTTAATTGGTGTTCAGTTGTATAAGCATTAGCACATCTCATTTCCATGGAGAATATTTGGCCCCGCCCCCTCAGTCATGGTCTATTTACTTTGAAACTTTTGCTTAGTTTACATGTATTAGTTTGTGATTAGATCAGTTTAAGATGAACTGCTAATGTTAAGTCAATGATATTTGGTACGCAAATTTATTGGCATTTGCAAGTATCGTTTCCATGGAGATTATATAGCCCAACCCCTGATCATGGTTCATTGACTTTGAAACTTTAACATAGTTTACAAGTTAATGTTTGTGTTTAGGTTTGTTTAAGAACGACTTATAATAAGTCAATGGTATTTGGTATGCAGTTGTATTAGCATTGGCACATCTCATTCCATGGAGATTGTTTAGCCATGTACCTTCAGTCATGGTTCATCGACTTTGAATATTTGTATAACTTACATGTTAAAGTATTGCTATTTTAATTTCAACATTTGCATTATCAAAATTACAAAAAGGCGAGACATATCTCTGTGATAACAGTTTATTTTACCCAAACTATGAATACAGATTCATGTTGTGGTCCAGTTTGTAGTAACTGATGCTGATGTGTCAATGCATCTTGGTAAATACATTGTTGTCAGATGGTTGTCGTTTGTTGGTGTGGTTCATAGGTGTTACTTTTTTTATATAGATTATTAGACTGTTGGTTTTCCAGTTTGAAGAGTTTTACAATAGCCATTTTTGTGGCCATTTATAGCTTGCTGTTCCATGCGAGTCAAGACTCCATGTTGAAGACTTGTCTTTTGACCTATAATTATTAACTTTTATACATTGTGACCTGGATGGAGAATTGTCTCATTGACCATGTTGACACTCATACCACATCTTCTTATTTATACTGCAGATCTTAATTGGTACTGAAGTAAGCTAGACCAAGGGAAATTATGTCAATCTAACCTACATTTCACAATTGAGTATCTGTGATGAAGTTCTGCTCAATACTTTATTCTACAGCATAAACTAAAGATGATATTTTTATAACACATGGTACAATGCTAGATCTGGTTCAGAGATTGTTAAGGTGTATTACCAATGTGGAAAAAGTTATAAAGTATGTAATTGAAATTTATAAAAGGGTAAGTTTTGGCAAATTTCTGGTGATTAATGAGATTTTTGCTTAAACTGTTTCGTCCCTGCCAAGGGTACTCGTCAGGTGGCTTTAGGCTACCACTACAGTTTTGCACTATGAAAATCACAAAAATTACATACCACTATATGATGATTTTGGCTTGGTAAACATCATTAAAGTGTCAGTACACGACCTTCCTGTATTTACATTGCCAGTTGCTATGAACTCACTAATCATTATTAGCACTGCTGCCACATGCTTGCAGGATCCATGTGGTCCCCTTCCAGCCGGACATTCACAATGTGAGTTCAGTGGATCACCAGAGCTCTTTTCAAGTTTCAACCTGTAGTTGTAAGTTACCTGAATACAAAATAAATTGTAAATTTGAAGGTAATAGAAACAGAAGCAATGAAATTTCATGTGTGATCTTTTGAAGTGAAGCTGACATTTAAAAAATAATGAATAACTAAGATGTAAAAATAAATGTATCTTTCAAAACTAATAATAAGTGAAGATTCATGATTACTAAATATTTCTCCACTAAGATAAAGATTAAGAGCAGAAAGTGTAATGATACCTTTTTCTTCATAGCTGCTCCTACCACACCACTAAGAAATATCCCATTATCATTTTTTAAAATAGAACACGCTAAAACTCTATGGCTTTCAAACATCAGTTGACCCTTTGTCATAGATTGCAGGTCACCACTATACACATTGTCCTCTAAAAGATAAAAATTATATTAATCAATTATAGGTATGTGTTGCTAGTCCCTAGTTTTCTATGTGAAGTTTTGTTATTGATGTTTATCCTTTTCTTTTTTTTTAATTTATTTTTGTCCGTGGTATTTTTTTTTTACTTAAATGTATAACTTAAGAGTGTCCCTTTTGTGTCTTCCTTCTCTTTTAAATATTTAAATGTGAAGGTATAACAGTTATAATAATTAAGAAGCAAAAAGATTTTATAGGTATAAAAAAACACAGTTATTATAAATCAAGCATGAAGATCATAAATAAACAGGGTTAACAACATGTACTTACCTGCCATCCTATAAAAGAAATAAGCCTCTATTTGCTCTCTTGATAATTTCGGCATGATGAGCTTGTGCTCCTTCTTCAACTGTTTAAACCCTGAAACAGGCCATTCTACCTCCAATGGCTCTGGAGCATGGATAACAGGATTTTTGAAATTCTGATTTTTATCATATGCTCTTAGTCTACAAAAGAAAATAAAAAATGTGTTTTTTGCAAATGAATTAAAAAAAAAATAGAATGAAGTGGTCTCAAGTATACAATTACAAAATAATATTTGAGTATTCTAAAATTACATTTACTGAATTAAAATGTACAAGGCATTGGATAGTAATGTCTCATGGCATTAGCAATCATATCACATCTCCTTATTTTTGTTTAAAATGAATGTTTAAAAAGTATATAATGATGTGAAGTATTCGAGGAAATAAAAACAGTAAGTATAAATAAAGAATATGTTTGAGAAACATATTTTGGAAGAAACACATACATGTACATGTAGCTGGTGCTTATTCTCTACCAAATATATACAGGGAGCATAAATACTCACTGTAATTTTTATGACTGAGGGGACTGGATATTTGTTTGCAATTCTTTCCATGGCCAAAAATATGTATCGCCTATCACCTACCCAATTTTGCTATATATATATCCTATAAAAATCTTTTTTTTGCAGTACAATATTATGTTGAAGCTTATCTCCTTCACTGGCTTCAGAGCATTATAACCAACACATATAGATCTATCACTTATCTTTTTTTTTTCTAGTGTATTTGTATTGTTCAGTCATTGGCTACTATTGATATGTACAAATATAATATTTTTTAGGTTTTATTAGATGGAAAAATATATAGCAACAAAAACATCATCAGTAAATAAAAATGTTTCTCAACAATAACATAATCAAATACACAAACGAACCTGTGAAAATACTTTTTCTTTTGGTACCAAGTTGAATAATATTCGACAAGAAATTGCTTTAAAATATATCTTTGAAAAAACGTGATGTGGCATCATGTATGCATGTACATCATACTACATGTAATGGAAACCGGCAGACTTTAGCAGGGTATAAGGATCAATAAGCTTCATTAAAAATACACATTATATTTAAAAACCTTTCAATAAGGTCTGCCTTTCTTCCTGTTCCAACTGCACCACGACTTGCCAGCTCATTCTTTAACTTTTTAAGAGGCCAGTACAAGTACTGGTCGTTGACGTCCATTTGTTTATCTAAGCGGTAAGCGTTTCCGTGAAATCAAGCGTCCAACTAACCACCTATAGAACCGCAGCGCCGCCTCTCGTGAAAAGTCGTGAATGATTCCTATTGCAATGGGGCGAGTTGACTTGCTTCCGTTTTTGCCAATCTTTGACTGATTTTCGGGTTTATACTAGTCCAAATAATTATGACGTCTTGCAAGGCTATTTTAATTTTTTTTCTGGGACGCCTTCCTACGTTTTAATTTTTTTTCTGGGACGTACGGTCGTAGGAAGGCGTCCCAGAAAAAAAATTAAAATAGCCTTGCAAGACGTCATAATTATTTGGACTAGGTTTATACATGCATGACATGGATAAAGTCAAATGGTTTTTCGTGAAAAGTATAGCACTAGCATCTTCCTAAAAATGCGCATGATTATATTTACATTTCATTGCGCTTTCCAAGTACAATAAGTTGGTACGTAATCCATCAAAACGAAACACTTTCGTTGCGTTGACTTTCGTTCCCCGGATTCAGTTAATCGACAATGTTAGTTACTAACCCATTTCAATATATCTGTTTATAATAACTTTTTGATCCATCAGTTTGAAAAATCAAAGGTCTTTGTATCAACTATCTGACTATCTTTGTCCATTCTTTTAAAACATGAATTCAGCAGCAGACGAGCGTCCATGGATTTTGCGTCATAGTATAAAAACGACAACGGTGAAAAGATTTCCGGGTTTCCGTATTCGACGCGCCAAGCTTTCGTACATTTACGTAGTTATATGAGAGTTAGTCTGGAATCAAGAATGGGGATTTAAATAAGGACACAAACAAAATATATAGATAGTTGAAAAGCAAAAATAAAGAAAGAAGGATCATAGAGAATAATTGAGTATACTTAATTATGAAGAATCATGCAAAGACATTATTCTCAGAGCATATACATGTCACTGGAAGAATTGAGAATAAATAAAAACTAAATAAAGAATATTCAATCATTTATATATTATTTATAACTCATTAACATTTTGTTCCATTCAGAATTAAATAACTCTGCTGAGGGGGGCATGGGAAGTTTGGAAAATTGACAAACGATAATTACTCTAAATTCTAATCAGAGGAGAATTAAATGTTAGACAGTTAGAGTGTAATAAATAAAATATAAACATATATTTTTCAAAATGATGTCACAGAAAACACAGATTTTTTTTTTATTACTAATAAGTTTCTGCAATTTGAGTATCTATGTCCAACAGATGTCAGTGAATTAGAAATTTTACTAATCTGATAGACGTTTAGTTAAGAATCTGTGACAAGTTCTTTTGTAATATTATTAGGAAATTGCCTACCGCCTCCTTGATTTAGAATTGCATACTCTTCAAGATTAATAAGGTAGCCTACACAAATAACAGCCAGTTTTGGACTTGATCTTTTTGTCCAAGGTTAAACAATATATTTTGTTTTATAATTTTCAACTCATGAACTATGCAAATATTTTTTACACTATCTCCTCATGATATTCGACGAAAAGCTCACCAGATCTTATCTCCACATGTTTGCCAATATGGCGAATCAAATCAAAGTTTTACTTACTTAATTTCAAGTTGGCAATTACATGTATATTCAAACCTAGGTTGCCACATGTTGAGCAGAAAGTTCCTAACTTTATCATTCACAATACTTGAGTTCACCCATGTATTTTGGAGGTTCGTGTTGCACATAAAGGCAGATTTAGAGCACCCTGCCCCTCCCCTTTTTGTGGCAAAAATTTGATCTATTATATCGGGAATCACTGATGCATGACTAGGGAGGCCCCCTCTTTAGCAGTCAGGGGGCCCCCTTAAGAAAATTTCTGGATCCGTCAATGGCACAATCTTTAGTTTTTATGTAATGTTAAGCCCAACGGGTTACTGGGAATTTCTGTACAGTATTTCATACCAAGGTTGTTTGGGTATCACAGTTTTAAAATGTTATCACCGTTGACCCAATAAACAAATCCTTGGTTGATCTATTCTTAAACAACTTCTTTCCAGTAGTACCCTCACAATGGTATTAATGACATTAATGCCTCCAACCTGGGACTATTATGGAGACTATTATACAATAGTCCCAGCTCCAACACTGATCATTGATATTTATGTTCCCCTTATAAATAGAATAGAGAAATTGAGGACATTTGTTCCACATTTTATGAACTTTGAAAAAACACAAGCACATGTAACTTTTGACACCACCTGCGGGCAAGTGCCTGCAGGACACTGATGGGGTGGCACGTGGGTGGTGGTAAGTCAGTGGCGTATCCAGAACTTTTCATAAGGGGGGCCCGCTGACTGACCTAAGGGGGGGCCGCTCCAGTCATGCTTCAGTGATTCCCTATATAATCAACCAAATTTTTGCCACGAAAGGGGGGGCCCGAGCCCCCCAGGCCCCCCACCCTGGATCCGCCTATGTAAGTTTATAACCGCCGTTACAGTAAACCCCTCTCAACCCACCAAATGCTTGCTTGAAACACAAGTAAAATATAAGCAGGTAATTATATCCTTTGCTTTTATTCCACACCAAAGATGAAGAAATGTATGATAAGTTATAATGGTATATTATTCTGTACATTGTATAAGCCTAAAAATTAAAGGGACGAAAGTATGTAGTGACTATTGTTTGTCGTGATTTAAACACGATAATAGTGTTGCTTTCCCCTTTATCTTATGAGCCGCATTGAACAGGACAGACTACCCCAAACACTCTGAAACTTTTCAAGTACTTTCCATATGCTCATGTGTATTATATTGTTAGCATAGTTTTGTACTTGGACAGATAATCAGAATGGTCAACAATCAAGCATTGACAATGTTAATTGGTCACGTTTGTTTGAACTACCAAACCAGGTAATTTTTAAATTTACACTTGTACAATCCAATGTCAATGTTACATACAATCAGTCATTTTTGTAACACAAGGGTTACAAATAAGAAAATACTAAATAAAATATGCAAATGTATAATTTAGTTCCAGAACTGTATGAAGCACCTAAGACTTAAATATATCTACTGGGTGTATCTGTCTGTCTTTTGTCCAAGATAGTTGGCAGATATATAGGAATAAAAAGAGATGTAAGGTTATTGTAACACACCTTTGAGAAAGTTATTCAAACAATAATAACAAAAACACAACACAACACATCTAAATATTCCAAGTTCTAAATCATTTTTTTCCAAAGTGGTGAAGATCAAAAGATCTGCAATTAACACCAAATTCTCCCAATATAAATACATACTTCATTTACCTGTGTATATGTATTAAAAGAAATACCAATGAAAATCTTAATTAAAATAAATGTTTAAAGATTAAACTTTTAATTGTTCAAATAAGAAGAACATTTTATGGGGGAAGGGGGATGATTCACAGAATCCCCTGGCCTACTCCCTTTAGGAATTATATATAGAGAGAGACTTTTTACAAGTCTAGTCTCACTTTTTTTTAAGGATCCTGGACCCATATCTGACAATTATTGCAATTTTATATACTTTGCCTTTTTTTACTGCGATTATTTTCCTAAGCTGATTGGATAAAATACCATTTATTATGGTGATAATTAAGGATAATCAGGGGCTGATCCAGCCATTTTTAAAAGGGGGAGGGTCCCAACACAGGATAAAAGGGGGGTTCCAATTATGTTTCCCCATTTAAATGCATTGATCATTCAAAAAAAGGGGGGTTTCATGTGAAAATAATTTTTTTAAAAGTAAAATAAGATTTTCAATGGAATATATGTCTTACAAGGTATTAGATGTTAATAAACAAGTTTTAATTTTGATGTTAATTTTTTTCAACTTGGACACAATTAACTTTTTTTTCATGTGAATTTCACATGAAAAATTTAATGTAAAATTCATGTGAAAAATTTAACTTAAATTCACATCAACAAAATTTTCCTGTGTAACACATGCGTTACACATGCGTTACACATGCGTTTGACTATACATGTGTTACACATGCAAATATCGCATGTGTCACATGCGTTTTCCAACACATGCGTGACACAGGTATTTTTCTGACACATGCGATTCACATGCGTGTATTACGCATGTGAACGCATGTGTACCACGCATGATTCACATGCGTGGCAAGAAACATGTGTATTACGCATGTGACACACCTGTGACACATGCGTTTTTAGGTACATGCGTGACACATGCGTGGCATTTTTGCCCTAGTAGGCAGAAGGGTTAAATGGAAAATGTACGAATTGCTGACAAAACAATAACATTATAAAAAGTCTAAAAGATTTACCAAAGTCCATTATTTTCACTTATCAGTTTTACGGCTGTTGTAGTATCTTCTTTGCATTGATGACGCTTCAAATTGTTTGTAATCTGTTGCGATTTCATTTCCCTATTTTAAATCATGATCGATGAAAAAAAAGGAAGAAATTACAATAAAATTGGTTCAGAAAACCTGATATGATTTAATTTCAAAATCACCTTAGGTACATGTATAAACACATCAATACCATATCAAATTTGAGGCAACACTAGTTTATCGATGTTCAAATCTTATAAATCCATTAAGAAGATATAAATCAAGGTAAATTGTGAAAAATTAGAAAATCTCATGAACCTCAAAAGGGACTAAATTGTGTGCGCCTACAGGCCTAGATTAATGTCTCTTACTATGAATGCATCAACTGCCATCCAAATCAACACTCAGTCAAAATGTTACATTCAGAAACCATTCGGTAAATTACAGATTATAAAAGCACTAGTCAGCCAGTAGGTGTGAACAATAAGAACCCATTGAACTACCCATTGTGTGTTGACAAATCAAGCCATCACACTCAATAAATATGTAGGACTCAAATCTATGGTGGGTTCCAGATCTATGGCAGATTCCTAATCTATGGTAAATATGACGTCATGTCATTCCAATCTATGGAAGATTATTTAGAATCCTAATCTATGTAAGATTATTTAGAATCATGATCTATGTCAATTTTTTTTACTTTCCTAAGCTATGGCAATTTTTTAGTTTCCTAATCTATGGCGGATTTCTAGTTTTTAAATCTATTACTTATTTTCTACAAATGGCGGACCAGTCAGTACATATCTGACCAATGATTTC